GACCCTCACTGATACTGGGCTGGGCTGTAACGACTCAGTCGTTAATGGACATTGTTGGCCTTCTAAGGACCGAAACCACACCGAGGGGGATAAATATCTCCGACTCAACACCAGTCAGTCAGAACCGATGAAGCCTCTTGGATGAGAGGTGAAACGTCTTCAATCTAGAATTCCAAGTCCAGTTGATTTCCAAGGTTATTTCGGTTGCGGTTTACTATGACCTGGATGACTGAGAATCTGCACAGATATACTCCAATTTAGCACAACCCTGACTTTCAACTTCATAATAATCCAACATGGCAACACAAAGGAATCTCTCACCTTCATCATCTATTTGAAAACAACCAGCTCATACCATTCAATTAGCTGAAAACAACCAGTTTATACCATTTAAATTAGTCCAGAAGTACAGAGTTGGGAGAGGAGAATTTTTCCAGTACCACCAGTTAAAATCCATAATTAAATCAAAGATCAATATAATCAACAACTCACTACAACCTTCCATGCTAACTGAGATAATGAAATTTACTAACTCAAAGAAGATAATATCTAAACTTTATAACTTTAATTTCATTTATTTTTGTTTTATGAATATATTTATATATATATGCCATATCTGGCTATATATAATTATGTGTATACGAAATGTATATATTGTATTTATATGATTGAAATTGCTTTATTCTTTTTCTATTTTATTTCATTACTACAATCATCCATTTTCTATCAACTGTCTTTTCTTTCCTTTACATTAACCCACTCCAAAAAATGTTCTTAATTTATTTGGTTTCATACAATTTTAAAGTACTGAATATCAGTCTGCACAGAACTGGATACTACCACACTATACACTTTCACACACACAACTCAATAACTTAATTTAATAATCTGTCTCCTTTGTTAATGTCTGTTGTCTTATCTACTGGTGTGTCCTTTGTCCTGTAAATACAGTATTTTGTGTGGCAATAAAAAACAAAACAAAACAAAAAACAACATGGCCATATTTTACACCCCACCACCGCCCAACACAGCCCCCTGTGTTAAACTGAACTGTTGGAGCATATTATATAACAGATATTTAGTCAAATATCTATTCAACATTGTTAATCTAGCCACAGGGATTTCAAGCCGGTGACTTCTGTGCTGGTCCCAAGCCCAGAGGGTTGTGTCAGGAAGGGCATCGGAAATTAAACGTGCCAAATTTAAACATGCTAATCATTAGTGTGAATTCCATACCAGATTGGTCGAGGCCCAGTTTAACAACGACCACCACCAGTGTTGTTGACCTACAGGGTGCTGGCGGAAATTGGACTACTGCTGGTCGAAGAAGTTGACAAAGGAGAGGAGGCAGAAGGATTCGTAGACAAGAGAAGAGGAAATAGGACTCTTGCCATTGGCACAATGACAGGGAAAGGTAGAGAGCTGGTGGACATGATGGAGAGAAGGTAGGTAGATATACTGTGTGTGTGCAGGAGACCAGGTGGAAGGGTAGCAAAGCGCGTAGCATTGGAGGGGGATACAAACAGTTTTATTATGGTGGTGACAGGAGAAGAAATGGGGTAGGAGTGATCCTGAAGGAGGAGCTTGTGAGGAATGTTTTAAAGGTGAAAAGAGTGTCAGACAGGGTGATCAGTTTGAAGTTGGAAATTGAAGGGGTAATGTTGAATGTCGTCAGTGGTTATGCTCCACAAGTAGGGTGTGAGTTAGAAGAGAAGGAGAGATTCTGGAGTGAGTTAGATGAGGTGATGTAGAGTTTTCCCAGAAGGGAGAGAGTGGTGATTGGAGCAGACTTCAACAGGCACGTTGGTGAGGGAAACAGTGGTGATGAGGAGGTGATGGGCTGGTTTGGTGTTAAGGGAAGGAACCTAGAAGGACAGATGGTGGTGGACTTTGCTAAGAGGATGGAAACAGCAGCAGTTAACACCTATTTCCAGGAGAGGGAGGAACATAGAGTTACATATAAGAGTGGAGGTAGGAGTACGCAGGTAGACTACATTCTATGTAGACGAGGCAATCTGAGAGAGATTAGTGACTGCAAAGTGGTGGTAGGAGAAAGTGTAGCCAGACAGCATCGGATGGTGGTGTGTAGGATGACTCTGGTGGTCAGGAAGAAGAGGAGAGGAAAGACAGAAAAGAAGACCAAGTGGTGGAAGTTGCAAAAGGAAGAATGTCGTGAGGAATTCAGACAGAAGTTGAGACAGGCTTTGGGTGGTCAGGAAGAATCAAGGATCAGCTTTGAGTCCCTTCTTGTTTGCTATGGTGATGGACAGGTTGACAGATGAGGTCAGACAGGAATCTTCGTGGACAATGATGTTTGCAGATGACATTGTGATCTGTAGTGAGAGCAGAGAGCAGGTGGAGGAACACCTGGAAAGGTGGAGGTCTGCTCTGGAAAGAAGAGGAATGAAAGTCAGTCGTGGTAAGACTCAGAGGTCAGAGAGGCCAGATTGAGATGGTTTGGACATGTGCAGAGGAGGGATAGTGGTTATATTGGTAGAAGGATGTTGGAGATGGAGCTGCCAGGCAAGAGGTCAAAAGGAAGGCCAAAGAGGAGATATATGGATGTGCTAAAAGAGGACATGAAGTTAATTGGGGTGAGAGTAGAGGATGCTGAGGATAGAGTTAGGTGGAAACAGATGATTTGCTGTGGCGACCGCTAACAGGAACAGCCGAAAGAAGAAAAAGATCTATTCAACATTGTTGACAGAGCTCCACAAGCAATAATAAATGCCATGGAAAATACGCTACAACACTCATTTTAAATGAGGTATACTGTATGTAGTGAGCTTTTATTAAAATAGTTAGTTTTACAGATGATCAGTAATTTTTTTCCTCTTGAATCAGAAGTGTCTTGTTTGGTAGCACTGTTTCTATATAACATTAATTAAGGGGGATATTCACTAAACTTGTCAAAAATCACCATCAGGCATGGAAAATACTGTGGCAGTACAATTTTTTTGTTTAGCTGTGTATTTGCCAACAGTGACGATGTAAATGAGCACAGCCACAGCTCTGTTAATTTGAATGTACCTCTGCTTCAGATTTTCTGCCTGAAGGCTGTTACACATGTGTGAACCAAGAGGAAGTGTAGAAGAAAGTTTACAGTGAGCAAAACTTTAATATGGTTGAAGAAATCAACAAATGTACTTTGGAACTTCAATCACATAGTCTCCTGCCAGTCAATTCATCCTTTATTTTGTTCAGTAACTGAGCCATGGTTTGACCTGAAAGCCTGTAAAATCCATCACATGCTCCTCTGGCCAGGGATGTAACCACCACAAGCAAATTATACAAAGGAAATGTTTTTCCCAGTAATATTAATACTGAACTCCTGTTCTGGCCACTATTGCATCACGTTAAATGTTACATACTTTACACACAAAACCATGTATGTGAAGCAAGAAATTTCATGTTGTGTTTTGATAGTTGAACAAACTCCCCACTTTTAACAACCGTGGCCACAGAGGACAAGAAATAAACACAAGGCCTGAAGACAACTGGGGTGGGGGGTTAGTACAACGGGGAGAAAACACTTCTAGACAATTTTTTTACTTGATTTATCCAAATTTGTGCTAAACCCTAGTTAATGCAGCTTTAAAATGTAGAACATGAGGGTGCAAAGTTGTATTCACTTGAGTACGTGCATCATGTTTGGTCGCCATATAGATGTTCTCAGCATTACAGTAAGTGTTCTCTGTGTGTTTGTTCTTGCAAAAAAATAAATGACAGCAGCTGCAGCCTTTCTTAGGTTGTGCTGGAGCACACTGGTGTTTCATCATAAATAAACAATGTCAGGGATTCCCTGATTTTAATTGGATTATGGCACGCTGAGTGTCTAGTTAGAGCATTTGGAACTAAGCCATCACAGTCTGGAATGACCAGGCAGTCTCAGAAAAGCAACTGCAAATTAACATTAGCCTGCAACAAATACAGTTTAACAGTGGAATGGCTTGTAGAGAGTGAGACTTGGGGCACAGACACACCAAGCCAACTTCAAAGAACTATTAGCGATGATGGCTCATGCCACCTTCGTCAGGACCAAAATGTGACACAAGGCACTGACTACAGCCAATGACCAGCTAGCACATACAGTACATTCTGCGCCTATGTGAGAGAAATAACTCTCCATACCAGGATTCGTCATTCAAAAAGAGAATGAGGAAGACCTGGGATTGTGGATATACAAACAGTAAACAAAGTGGCTCTTGCTCCCCACATATGGTTTATAGTTACTTCTAATCAAAAGTTTACAGAGGATGCGGAAAAAAATACAGGGCCTGAGGTTACTGCATGTCCAGGAATGTTCCTGGGGCTCACTGTTTTACCTGACTGGGTCTAACCTACAAGCAGCCGGCCTGTGAAGCCCCATGGGACAGTGAATGATCAGCTCATCAATGCTGGATTCCTCTGGAGCACAGTACCTGTTTGTTTTGACCCACTTGAGGTCAGTGTGTCTGCAGCATGTCATGTGTTGTGGGTTAATGAGCGGATTAACAACCCATGATGTTATTGTCCATGCTACTCTACCTGTTGGAATTAATTTCACTACTTTGGGACTGTATGTGGTCATGTGGGGGAAGATGCAGCGACCACCAGTTGGATTTACCGACCTTGGAGCTACTTGAAAGGGACTGATGTTTCCACTACTCAGTGGGACTTAAAACTAATCAGCTATTATACCATTTAGGAAGCCTTCCACATACATGGATATCTCTTCCTGGAAAATTAGTTCAGTTGCTGCTGAAAAGTAACCACAGACCTTCACACATATGCTATTGGCCAAAAGTATATGGATGACACCCACCTAGTTTTCCTGTGGAAATTGGTTAGTAGAGTGCACTCCCATCTTCTTCCATCTGACTACAAGGCCAGGGATCAAATTTGACTTTCACAAACCTGCTAACCTCTATGCATTTCGATATCATAGTATATATGAGCGTCTAAAGGGGTTGGTCCAGCTTTTTCCTTCAAGCCATGATGGTGTGAATTGGCGCATGCAGTCATGACGGGTTGGGTTGACTTGATGTGTGTATGTGTGTGTGTGCATAGACACCAGGTCTGATTCATCAAGTTTCAGAAAGAAACCAAGAAGCCCTGTGTGTCACAATATCTCTGACTTCGTTTCCTGACCCCCACCCCCATCTTTTCCTGTTGCATTTCATCTCTCTTCTTCTTTCCTGGCGTGAAGACACATTGATTGATGGAATCATTGTAGCTATTACCAGAAGAGTGAGAACATAAAAAGGACCCGTTGGTTCTTTTAGTCAGTCATGGTTTGTTGTTCCACCATTGAATCGTCTCATCTCTGGTGAGTTTTGCTACTGAATAGTTTCTGAGTGACGAGAGTTTAACATGCCAGTTACTGAGCAGGGTTTAGTTCAAACTCATTACTAGCTCAACAGATAGAGTAAAACAGTACCATGGGCTCTGGCTCCCTGGTTGAAAACTTAGAGCACAGTTAACTCATGTTGCTTCATTACTCAGATTTATGTAATTTAACAATGTCTCTGGGTTATTGAGGACATTCTCTGTTATCTCTCTGATGAAACTCCTTCAATGCCCTGACAGGAAAATGCATTGTCATCAAGCTCTAACCAAGACTGTTTCTCAGTTCCTGAAAAGTGGGCATGTTTCCATGTTTTGGGTGGATAACTACAAATAACCTACATATTGTACATGTTTCAAATTAGAGGTTCTATACCTTCATTTGAGTCCAGTTGTGTTTGATTATACTGATTGGACGTAATTAGGAAAGCCACACACCTGTCTATATAAGACCCTACAGCTCACACTGCATGTCAGAGCAAATGAGAATCATGAGGTCAAAGGAACTGCCTGAAGAGCTCAGAGACAGAATTGTGGCAAGGCACAGATCTGGCCAAGGTTACAAAAAAATTTCTGCTGCACTTAAAGGTTCCTAAGAGCACAGTGGCCTCCATAATCCTTAAATGGAAGACGTTTAGGACGACCAGAACCCTTCCTAGAGCTGGCCGTCCGGCCAAACTGAGCTATCAGGGGAGAAGAGCCTTGGTGAGAGAGGTACAGAAGAACCCAAAGATGACTGTGGCTGAACTCCAGAGATGCAGTCGGGAGATGGGAGAAAGTTGTAGAAAGTCAACCATCACTGCAGCCCCCC